GGCCTTCCGCCACGCCTGACTTCGCAGGCTATATATATATATATATATATATATATATATATATATATATATATATTTCTCTTTATTCTTTTTCCTTTGTTTTGTAACTGACACCGAAGTGTACGGTGGCCTTCCGCCACGCCTGACTTCGCAGGCTATATATATATATATATATATATATATATATATATATATATATATATTTCTCTTTATTCTTTTTCCTTTGTTTTGTAACTGACACCGAAGTGTACGGTAGCCTTCCGCTACGACACCGAAGTGTACGGTGGCCTTCCGCCACGCCTGACTTCGCAGGCTATATATATATATATATATATATATATATTTTTTTTTTTTTCTTTACTCTTCATTTCTTTTCCTTTGTTTTGTAACTGGCACCGAAGTGTACGGTGGCCTTCCGCCACGCCTGACTTCGCAGGCTATATATATATATATATATATATATATATATCTTTACTCTTTCTTTATTTCCTTTGTTTTGTAACTGACACCGGAGTGTACGGTGGCCCGAGTCCACGCGGACTGCAGGAAATACATTTTACACTGATGCGTTTGAGCAAGGCCTGGGAATGAAATACCTGTGTGCCGGAGATGAAGCCCGTTACCTGTAGTTGCGGCGTGAGACGAGACATTATTCCCTGTGGGCGGGGCCCGCGGAATTAGGACAGGAATGCAGTTTTGAATATCGGGAACCTTAGTGAGACATGTATAAATGTGTTTGAGCCACCACCAGTTATATGTATAACTACCATAGTTAGGGTCTGAGAGATCTTTGGGAAGCCCGTACGGCGCTGATGTCCGGACGAATGAAGGTTGTGAAGGCGGAGGAGGACCACCGTCCTAGTTGTTGTAGGGATGAGGTAGAGAGACCTTGATTAGCAGCAGAGGTGGCTGCACCTATCCTGAAGGAATGCCCGGGTATGATATGGGTGATCGGCTGGATTTAGTGAGAACTTGCTTGGGTAGAAATTGACGGGGCCATGACCCTGCGAACCACTCTCCCTGGAAGAAACCCCCCAAAACCCATGGATGGGCGGCATCCGTGAAGACCTCATTGAGTCAGAGGAACGCACGAGGCCATCGCAAAAGAAAGTAATTCCGTTCCAGTGGGCGAGCAGGAGGGACCAGAACCGAAGGTCTGAACGGCAGCCTTCGTCTAAGAAAACGCAGTCATGGAGGTTGTCGACCGCTGATGCTGCGTCCAGGAGGCGGGAGATGAACGAGCGCCCCTGGGGGATGACGTGCATGGCGAAGTTGAGGTGTCCGAGAAGGGAGAGCAACTGTTGTTTTGTGATAACTTGTTGCTCGCAGTATGACTTGGTGATGTCCTGGATGCGCTGCGATTTGTCGGAGGGGAGAGACGCCTTCATGTCTATGGAGTCGAGGATGATGCCTAAGAACTCTAAGCGTGTGACGGGACCTAACGTTTTCTCTTTGGAGAGAGGGACACCTCACTCCTGAAGCAGTGTTTAAGCTTGGCCAGTGAGATCCCCGAGCTGTCCTGTGGCGGGTTTATGGGGAGGAAGTCGTCCGGTAGGTGAAGGACGGAGGGGATTCTGACGATGTTCAGCAGGATCCAATAGAGCGCTTCCGAGAAGGAATTGAAGATGCAGGGGCTGCTTCTGCACCCGAAGGTCGTGCGAACGCGAAGATAGAGTTTGGACTCCCACTTAATACCGAACAAGTTCCACTGAGACGGATGAATGGGGATGATTTGAAGGCATCGGTAATGTCCGCTTTGGAGAGCCGAGCTCCGTGCCCTGTGAACTTGATCATCTTTATTGCATTATCCACTGAGGCATGGTGAAGGGAGAACTGATCTGGAGGGATGATGCTATTGACGCTGCAGAATGGGCCAGAGCAGGGAGCGGACAGATCGAAAATCAGCCTTTTATTTACGTGTGGCTATTCCGATGGGATTTGAACGGAACACTGAGAAGGGGGAGGAGCTAAAAGGACCGATTATATATCCTTTGAGAAGTTCTTTGTCGATGAGCTGGGAAACTATGTTGGGTTCTTTAGCGGCTGACTGTAAGTTTCTTGCTACGAAAGTCACTGTGGGAGATGGGAGGACCCCTACCCTGAAGCCTTGGGAGAGCCCTGACGGGAGATAGTCAACGAACACGGAATCTGTAGATAGCGCAGCTGCTAGCTGAGGGATGTTAATGGGAGTGGAGGGGTGATATTCCAGAATGTTTTTTTTTTTTTTTTTTTTTTTATGTTTCTGGCGCAGAGCCACTGTGACGGCCCGTCCACACGGTGGCGTGCGTTACAGCTTCCGACGCTTCTGCCCATTCACTTTGAATGGGGTGACGTCACTTTTAGTAGAACTGTATTTTGGGAAGCGACGTGGAGCGTTTGCTGGCGTTGCTCGCTTCAAAAAGTTGAGCAATGTTCAACTTTTGGCGCCTCGGCAGAAGCGTCAGCCAATGAAATCCCGTTTATGCAAATCTGCCGGTACAAGCGCTAGCCAATCAGACCGCGTGTATGTTGGGAGAGACTACGCAGGTAATTCCTCATATTCCAAAAATGTGAGGGAAAATTCATAATAGCGGTAGTGAATCACCCGGTGCTGTATGATCAGTCTCTGTTCATCTACCGGGATACAAACCAGAGGAGCGAGGCATGGAGGGAGGAGGCAGAGACAGTGGGTGAAACTGGTAGGTTTTCGCCTGTTGGGGATTTTTTTCTTTTTTTTCTTTCCAGTTTACTTAGTTTTAACATTGCTATTGCTTTGTGTGTCGGGGGCAAGAGATTCATGTGATTGGTTGTTGCTGCTGTGCGGACCAGTAGCGTAGGCAGAAATGTACTTTAGGGTGGGCCTGTAAAAATATAGGGTGGGCCAGATTTTCTTCTGCGCATCGGAAACTAACCACGATCCCGCCGGTACCGGTGGCAGATTACTTTTAGAATATTTCCTTTCCTCTTCTTTTTCTTCTTTCCTCCTCTTCTTTTTATCTTTTCTCCTTTTCCTCTTCTTTCTATCTTTTCCTCTTCTTTTTCTTTCTTCTTTCTCTTTAGAATACTTTCTTTTCCATAACAAATGGGTATGTGTTGGTGAACGGGAGACACGTATTTTACTGTTTTAATGGCTTATGAAGAGCACGAACACAACATTTTAGTGTCATTCTGGACAGCTCTCTCATCTGCACCGCACATAAAAAGAAAAACTCACCCAGACTGCATTCTTTGTACTGTCTTAAAACCTTTCCTTGGAAAAGTGTATGCATTGTAAGGTGTCCTTGGGTGCTTTGAAAGGCGCCCCTAAATAGAATACATTATCATTATTATTTATTATCTGCAACGATGTAATCACTTTTAAAACTTTTCCCAGTTACTTGTCCCATGCATTCGGCAGCAGCAGGCCATTCAGTTAGATTTGATCCCGTTATGAATGTCATCATTCCGACAATAAATAAATGCTACGTAAACGTTATCTTCCACGTTTTATCTAAACATCTCCGTTTCTACCTTCCAATATGTTTTGGAAGAGAACTCTCTCTCTCTCTCTCTCATCTGCGTGCGGGGCGGGGCCTCACGGACACGCTGCATCTCTTGCTCGCAGATACGCTGCAGCGCTGTGCACAGGTTCTGCCGGTAATGAATATTACATTGTGAGGAAACTTTCCACCAATAATTCCAATAATTATTCAATTCAGGTTTACGAGAGTAACTGCACTCAGTTTAATCGTTTTTCAAATGTAACACCGCTGAATATACTGATTTTTTTTTTTTTTTCTTTCTTTATTTTTCTTCTGATTACGTAACACCGTTACATGTATTCCGTTACAACCCAACCCTGTGTAAGGGTCGAGTGCAAACGTTTTCGTTAAAACTAGTACCTGAGTGCAACGGAAGTTGAAGCTCCTGTGGCGTAGTCTTCCAGAGCCTGGAGGCGAGCATCGATAGCTATCATGGAGCTAGCCAGGGATTGCAGGGAGCCGGCCGCGCTACTCTCCATAGGGGTGTGTGACGCTACCGGACTGGCGAGCCTGAGAAGGGGTGGATTTTTTTGGAGGGGGACGGGATCCTGGAGGGCTCGACTTCCTGCCCTTTTTTTACCTCCGCGGCTGCGGCCTCGTCCTGCTCTCTGGGAAGCTGGCTGGAGCTGCTGCCCCGGACTGGGGAGCTACGCTGGAGACCTGGTCCGAGAGCTATCGCAGCTGAGAGAGAGTGAGGCCTGGGGCTGTGGGAAAGCCCTGCTGCAGGAGCCCGGCGATGAGGAAGTCTTCCTCTGTTCATAAGCCGCTGTGGGGAGCCGAACCGGGATCGGAGACTTCCAGAGAAGGTTCGTGTTCCGAATTGTCCGAGTTGGACATCTTGAGCTAGTTGTTTCTTACGGTTTTTCTCACGAGAAGCAGTATTGTATTGCAACTACCATTGCGTGTGATCATCTGCAATGACAACTGACAGGGAGGAAGAGCAGGTATTTAAGGCATTTAGCATGTGCAGCGATTGGCTGCTGAGGCGTGACGCCCTCATATTTAATGAGGGGGGAAGGGAGCCATAGAGTGACGTGTGAGTGACTCGAGTTAGGTCTTCCTTATTGAACTTGCGCTAAAGCTTTCATTTGTGTATCTTATTAACGAAAAACAACAGTTGACAAACAATTTATTTATTCTGTAGGTCTACCCAATCTCTGTATTGCACTGGAGATGTTCGGTAAATATCCTTTACCGCTACTTTCTCCCTGATGTTCACATACTTGACAGAGCTTTACCCAACAGTGCTAAGGAACACAGCAACAGGGACGTGCACGACTGTCTCCAGAGTGGGATCATGTATAGCACCTTTTGTAATAAAGCTGAGTGAGTACATTTGCATTTGCTGCATTAATGCATGTCCAGTTTGTTATATCTTCAGCAAGTTTGAGAGCCTTACACACATTCTGACATAACTTCATCTAAAGCCCCCAGACTTTTCTCCAATCTAAACCTTACCCTTTCAATTTTTAGATACATACATATTATATCTTCTTTATATTATACTGTCGACTCTGGCTGTTGTGGCTGCCATCGCTGCTTATTTCCTGCCGGAGAGTTTTGGAAAACCTCTACCTGAAACTATGACACAGATGCATAAGAGAGAAAGGTGGGTACCTTAGGAAATAGTTATGAAGCTTCTTTAATGCCAACCTCATTTTTAGATATAAAGTAATAAATGATGGTTAACATATTTAATAACTATGGGGTACTTCTTAAACAGAATTCACATTTTAAAACATTATTCATTTGACTTTCTGTTACTCTTAAATATGTTCCTTTTTACTTGGCATGCTATACTGACAAAAAGATGAACAGAAAATTAATAAAAAGCGTTTTAATGCAAAAATGCCAAATAATTCTTGATTCCAGTAGGATTGAGATTATCTTAATACATTAACTGTAGTTTGAGCACTATTATCACACAGCATGAATGTCTTGCCTTGAAATCACAGTCCTTACCATGCAGCCAGTAATGTTTTTCTTCCTTTTTATTGCTTTATAACAGGTTTAAGTGTCAATGCACTGGAAAATAAACAACAATACGATTGGAACATCTTGAAAGTCCACTTTGACAATCTAGCACTTCATTAATGAAAGTTATATTATGTGAATATCGCTTTTGAATTGTGTTAGTATTGTTAAGATTTCTCATTGTTTAACACATTTTTTGCCATTTGAAAACATCACTCTTTCATTTTCCCAAACATCTATTTTGTAACTGAAATGGTTGAATGAAAACTTGAAGTTGAAATCTGCTTGTGGATATGTATGTTAGCTTAAAAGGGAACCAGAAAATATCCTTACAATAATATTTAATAACACAAGTTTTGTCAAATGTCAAATAACTGTTGCAACTTTTTTTTCATTACATACATTAATTTCATGATAGAATGCAACAGGTGTGTTACCTTTTTTAATGCAAAAAAACCCCCACACATTTAATAAACGCTGTGTATTGTGGAAATGCAAGTGACCAGTCAACAAGTTTTTGCATTCCCCAAAAATGTTTAGCCATGGTAATAAATAACCTGACTGAACTTTCAGACTGGATATGGCTAAAGTAATTTCTGGCATTTGTCTAGAGACAGACAGGTTTCTGTTATTACTGTTATAAGGGTGACCTGTTAAATGTTAATTCATGTGTTGCCGTGAAAGATTAACCTAACATCAGAGAACAGCACAACATGTTCACTTGACAAAAGTTGCACAGTTCACATGTTTGTTGTAGGGTTGCTTTGTCAGCAAAACATTTCATCCATAAACTATACCGTTTTCAACCTTTGTAATATATAACCTGATAAGGATAATAAAAAAACATATTCAAGATTCAAGGCTTTTTTTGTCATTTGTACATAGTGTAGATATGTCAATGAAAATCTTATGTCACAGGCTCCTCCAACAGTGCAACACAGTAAAACAGATACAATAGTGCAAATAAATACAAATGCAATAGAATATAAATACTGCAAGAAGACTCTATATACAAGTAATTGGAATATGTGTAGCAATGTGGCTTGGAGAACCCTTCCGACTGGATTGACTTGATAATTATTGCTTTGCATTTTATTACAACTGACATAAGAGTGACTTGCTTATATGTGCTTGATTCCTGTCAGCTATGGCTAGGAAAATGAATAGTGTTGCAGCAAAGGAATGTTTCAGATGAAAGGCAAAATAACTGTTACTGTACTAGCCAGTAGGGGTGTAACGGTTCACAAACATTTCGGTTCGGTACGTACCTCGGTTTTTAGGTCACGGTTCGGTTCGGTATGTTTTCGGTACAGCAGAACAAATTATCACAAAACATAAAATATATATTTTTTTTAATTATTATTAAACTGTGAACAATGTATTCACTCAAATAAATACAAAATATAATAAAATAAACATTAAGGTGCAGCATTTCGATGAACTGAAATAATCTGTATTTGAACTTTACTGCACTAGTACTCACAAAACATAAACTATTACTTTTGGGTTTTTAATTATTATTAAACTGTGAATATTCACTCAAATAAATACAAAATATAATAAAATAAACATTAAGGTGCAGCATTTCGATGAACTGAAATAATCTGTATTTTAACTGTACTGTACTAGTACCTATGCAGCCAGTTTGACATTATGACTTGCTTGTCATTGTATTTTCATGTTTTTGTAAAGAAAAATTAACTTGTCCACATTACTTGCCGAAAGGGCAGATCTGCTGGCACTAACAATGTCTCCTGCTGTGGAGAACACCCTCTCGCTAGGGACAGAGGTAGCAGATACAGCCAGGTAGCGCTTTGCTAACATGGCAACATAAGGATATTTGGCGTTTGTAATAGCTTTGGCTCGGTCTAAACTTTTTGCGAGTGGTGGAGCCTTAAATGCTAGTGGGAGTTTGCACTTCAGCCTTTTTTCTTTTGGTACCGGTGATATTCACGTCCGGGTGATGCCTTTTCAAATGATTGTGCAAGTTTGATGTATTGCCAGCCGCGTAACCAATTGTAGTTGAACAATGCCGACAAACAGCTTTGGTTCGGTCCACCTGTCTTTGTCCATCATTCTTGTACGTAACTGCGAAACCAAAATGTTCCCAAACCGGAGACTTCAATGATGCTGGAGGATTTTCGAGCTCAACTTTATCTGCGTGCGCCATTTCAACAGTTCCTCAAATTACTGACTAAATGTGAACGCATCCCTGTGACCAGCTCTCATAGTATGCCTCTCGTCCAATGAAATGACTTGCTCGCTCTATGACGCATTGAACCCAATGTGAGCAAATTACTCTGAATGCTGCGATCTGAGATTACTTCCAAAAAGTTGTTCACGTTCTAATTTTTTTACGTTTAACGTTATATTCGTTCGGTACACTTCGGTACACACGTGTACCGAACCGAAGGGCCCATACCGAATAATTTCGGTACGGGTAAGTGTACCGTTACACCCCTACTCAGTGGCGTGCACAGACATTTATAGGGGCAGGTGCTCAAGAGAAGAAAAAAAGGGCACCTTCTGAGTCGTCGTGGCGGTCTGGCGTTCGCCCGCGTGCGAAATTGTGTGCGAAAATTTGCCGGATAATGGCGGATTTTGTTAGTTTCTTTTCGGTTTTTGGTTACTCCTTCCATCTCTCCCTCATTTTGGTCATCATCAGAGAGCACTGTTTCTGAACATGGTGCTGCTCTGGACTCTGACATTTCTGCTTCATCTGTGTCTGACTCAGAGATATTTTCTATGGATTTGTCTCCCTCATCTTAGATGGACTATTGCAGGACAGCAGGGGGCTGCTTCCCTGAGCCTGCTGTAGCTGCCTAGAATACAAACAATATAGAATATGATGTTTATTTCAATTATTTGGGTAAGGCAATGCAATGCATGATAACATTAAGACTCACCAGACTTTAACTGTCATGGCCAAAATTCAACACCCTACCACATAGTTGTTGTTTTTTTGTCATTTGACAAGTAGCTTCATGTCTGATTTAGTATCACTTAGTGTGGTTAAAATAAATTGTGGGCCTCTCAATAAAATTATATTATTATTATAATTATTACTACTATTATTATCACAGTTCAAATCTGAGCATGAAAGGGCTCTAGACAGACAGTTTGTCCCTTAACATGACTGGTATTGACTCTGACCTTTATGACAATTATTTGAAAACTTTAGTTACTAGTTACTATGTAGATTTTGATTAAGATTATTACAAAACATACATTTAATCACTTCAGCCCTAGCATAATGACGCATTGTGAGCGTGTAGATCTGCTATTTTCAAAAGTGCACAACGAGACTAAATGGATGGATGCAAGAAAATAAGTAAAGTTATAGTTTAGTTTGGCATCTGATTTAAGGGACTACACAATACACTCGTTGTCTCGTATTTGTTACCTGGTGGTTACCTACTTGGTCGTCACTAGGGCACTTTTAATCGTGTTGCTGCGTGCTGCTGCACCACACACCCGCCGTGGCCTGTCTGACTGACTGACTGACTGTCTGCTCTGCGCGTTCACGTTGAGAGCAGGGAAGGGAGGGGCTGCAGCCAGGGCACGTACGGGAGTGCCGCGGGGCACGTGTGGGGATGTCTGGCAAAATTACAACGCGCATTTGGGGCATTGTTGTATATATTAGAAGCTTTTAATCCAGAATTGATCGATGTTACCATGAGCCACATACAGTACACTGTAAAAAAATAAAATAAAAAACTGTAAAAAAACGAACTTTCAAAAGGGCATATTGCTGTCCAGAGGGCAAAACGGGCAGGTGCTCAAGCACTACCTAGAGCAGAGGTGCCCAACCTTTTTTGAACCGAGAGCTACTTTTAAAGTTGCCAGTCTGCCGAGATCTACCAGTCCAAATAGAGAGGCGTAGCCATTACTGATAGCCTACTGCTGGTAAATACACACTTCTACTTGTATAAAACTGACCTTTGTACGATTAATACTTCATAAAATACTGCAGATCCTTTATCTTACCTCTTTCTAATCTACACATATACAAGTATTTAACTGAAGTTACACAACAGTGTTGTTGATACAGAGTTGGAGTTTATTCACACGTCACATACTACAGTGGGTAATGTTTTCAAGAAACATTGAACAGTGCTGCCACATATGACACAGGAACAAAAGAAAATATTCTGAACCCTTTCTTTGCCATTATATACAAATAGTGTTGCTACAAAAGAATAAACTTACTAATAAGACAACTCAGATCTGAAGCTACACAATAAAAAAGACAAAATTAATAGAATCAAACCCTTTTTTTGTTGCATTTTAGTAGATTATAAAAAGAAATGCCTTTAAAATAGGATGCAAGCAACACTAGTTTCTTAACCTGAATTGATAATAGATTATAATCAATTTAAGTTTGCATTCTTATACCATTTTGTACAATAATTATAATGAATAAGTTCAAACAAACTCAAACTTACAGCTGATTATTAACGGTATATAACTTGAGTTTTTATCATATCAAAAACCTGTTGAAAATGCTACTGTTATTTTTATTACGCATCGGCAGCCTCCAGGAATGCTTCTTTCACAACTTCGCCGTCTTTGAAAGACTTCATGTGTTACGCAAGAACGTGACTGACACGTTAAGATGCTATGGTAGCAGCCTTGCTCTTGTTGTTGGGCCTGGTGAAAATGGACTGCTGTGCATTTAGCTGTCCTTTCAGGCCCCTCCCCTTTTGGGAGCGTAGGGCAGAATTGGGATGGAATTCCGTCTCGTAGCGTTTGTGCACTGTTTTGAAATGCCGCTCCTAAATTACCCTTCTTCGATAAAGCCACGCTCGCATTGAAGATGAGACAGATGGACTTTGAATTGGAATAGATACAAAAATAATCATCCTCCCACTCGGAGTGAAAATTATATATGTTTTGCTTCTTCCATAATTGCGGTCTTGTGTGTGTGCGGACTGTCACTCCTGGTGTTGACACGGACAACGTTAGCGAACTAGTGCACTGCCCACTGCCCACCAGCCACGCCCCGACACATGGGGTCACGCCGGCCAATCACAAAGCTTTGATGCGTTCAAGTGCATTATTCTGGCACAGGAAGATTATG